CCCCAAAACCCCAAAACCCCAAAACCCCATTGTCTAGAATACATGTTCACAAGAATGATAACTTTTAATTGGAATTGAAAATTTAAAAGATAACTAATTTGATTATTGATAATAAATCTGGATGATATTTTCATTGAAATGCACTCTGCCTTAGGATTTCAAATAAGTTAACTTGATTTTAAGTATGATTTTCTGATTGATCAAATTTGGCAAGGAAGTCTTGGCATTATTTTTGCAAATTATCATTACTATCGTTTCTCATTTCCTCAATTATCTGGAATCCACCCTTTTTCTAGAAAGACCTGATAAAATCTTTTGAATTCATTTTACATTCAAATTCTAGTATATTCCAAATCAAATCAATTTGAAGAATAATTACTTCTTACTCTTTAATCTGTTTCAATGAATTAAGCAATTGTAAAAATTGTTGTAAATAACTCTCTTGATTATTTAGCCAATCAACCATTTTTGCAGGTTTATAATTCAAGATTGAAATTAAGCAAATTAAACTTTGACGAATAAGTTGAACATCTTAGCTATGATGATAATCAAGATAATTGTAAAGAATATGAACTATCTAGTCACTTTAAGAAATATATTCTCTGGCAAGCATGCTCTTAGAAGTTATCAGATTGAAAATTATCCAACAAATCTCACATTTTATCTTTGGATTAGAATATTTAATTTGATCAAGGGATTCTACTGATTCAATCAGACCTGTTCTAATCATATCCTCGTGAGATTATTCTTAATCTACAGATACTAAGTTTCCTATTACCTTAAAACAGTACTTCATTATTTTTTCTTCCTATTTTTTAGTAATCTCCCTAATAATCAATTGAATGACGCTATCCATCAAAAGATTATTTACTAAGCAAGTAATGCTAGTATTATCTTATGTCAAGTTATCAATAAATCTTAGTAGAGTGTAAAATGAGTCCTGAGAAATATGATTAAAATCAAATTTTCCAAGAGTCTCCAGTATTATAAATATAGAATTTTCTTTCTCAAGTTTTGACAAATTTAAGGACAAATGAAAGATTAGCCTCAAGAATTAAGTCAAGATTTCTTTTTGAGAGTACATTTAATTAGCATCTATACATTTAGCAATTGCTTAAAGATTATACTCTTTCTGACTTAGTATTTCTTATAACATTGTTGAGCCTTGGAGTATGTTATTTATGGATTTGAGAAGATATTTTAAAATCATAGCTCTCTCATTGTGTGTAGAATATTAAAACTGATTTTAGTCTGATAGAAATAAAATCGATAAGTGTAGTTCATTGAATAATTGAAAATTATTTTCAATCTTCGAAATATCATCTTTGCTAATGCAAGTTAATTTAACTAGTAGTTGACTAGCAAGTTTTTACTGACAAAAGGTCTTTTGTGATTGTGTTATTTTCAGTAATCTTGTGAAGATAAATTAGTATCTCAAAATAACATTAACAACTTCACAGTCATTTCTAACGTCAAGCAGATCAATTATATAGGTCATTTAGTTGAGGAGATCAACCTCAAAATCATTTCGATTTTAAAACTCAAACATCGCAAAAAGCTTGCCTAATTATGTCAGCTAAAATAAATAAATTTGCTAAATCATTCTTACCATATCATGCTTAATATTCTGGTCAATAATCTAAATAGACCCTAAAATGGATTTGCCTGAGTTACTAATACTGGATTAAGGATTTGCCTAGGTAGATTAAATATAAAGACCTCTTTTGCCGAAGATTGAAGGATGTTGCTACGAGGAAGAAGTTTTATCTCTCATTTAAGTTAGCTTCTCTTCTTTTTTGTATCTTCGAATTTGCACCATAAAATTCTCTCTCTTTTTCTGGCATTCATTATTTGTTTAAGGTACTATAAAATCTTAAGTTTAGGATAAATAACCTATAAAATTTAGACTCTAGGGTTTCTCTTGATATGAGAAGACCATATTTGATATTGAAGGCAGCTATTACTTGGTTTGCATGAAAGGATTCATGGCTTAAACTCAAAAAAAAAAATTAATTATACTTTCTACTAATATTTTGTGATTTTTAAGTTCTGGGGTTTTGGGGTTTTGGGGTTTTGGGGTTTTGGGG